AGGGGGGCAGCATAACCAAAGCTGGGGAAGGCTGTGATTAGTGAGGAGGAAATGAGAGGAGATCAAATCAGCTGAGAAAGGAGGCAGAAAAGTGCAACTCATGTTTGGGACTTGGAACAGCAAATATACCATTAAAGCCTTAAAGTGAGACTGATGAGATGATGCCATTTCAGGGAGGGGAGCAACAGTTCAAAAAGACAAACAGCCGCAATATGAAAAATGCAAAAGCATCAAGAAGTGTGATCAAGAGCTCTTATATTTGAGGAGTCAGGTACTAGAGAAAGTACAAAGCCCTGAGTCAGCAGCACAGATGTGACAGATGACACTGACTAGGAGGAAGGCAAACCAACACTTGTTAAACTGAAGGACATGTCGCATGGGCAGGGCTGTAGGCAGCAGGAGGAAACACAGACACTCAGGTAATGCCACCCGTCCTCTATGTCTGTGGATCCCCCAGAAGAAACTGTTCTCTCCAGCCTTCAAACTCTCTCCCCTTAGACCCATGCCAGGGGATGAGCATTGGGGAGCACGGAGTTGAGTTGTGCCACAGCTCCAGCTCAGCTGGGACAGGCATGATCTTTGCTGTGTCTAGCTGGACTGGCGCTTGTGCCTTCCCCACAGCCCCAGGGCAGGCATGGAACGAGAGGGTGCTCTGTGGTGACATCAGCACCAAGACCAGGGTCACCTCTCTCCTTCTAGAGATCTCCAGGTTTCCCAAACAGGACAAGGTAGCTACGGGGCAGAGTTGCAAAGACTTAGGCAATGAAGATAACTTGATGCCACTCCTCATGGGATGAAACTTTTACACAGAGTATAGAGAGATCAGAGAACTACGGGAAGAAGACATAGAGGTACAATATAGTAAATTTTCTGAGAAGTCCTTCAGTACAGCAGGACTGATAACTAGGTAAGGGTAGCTGAGCAAAGACTGAGCAAAGTCTGCTACAAAATTTTGACATGCAAAATTTTTGTGTAGGGGATACAAACAGTAAAGGTTGTACTCTGGCTGAGAAGTTAAGAGCAATGAAGGGATGTAGGGACAGTAGCTGGAACGCAGAAGTTCAGAGGTGGCCAGTGAGTGGCAGTGCATCTGTGTGGATAAGAAGCACACAGCTAACAAATAAAACACAAGTCTGATCTAAATTTGAGTTAAATGGCAAGGGAAGGCTGCTACCTGGGTGAGAGCACTCCACTCCAGAAAAAGTAGTTTAAACCCTCCTGTGAAGTTATTGTGCAAGTGGGCATGCAATACTTACTGGATCGGTTTCCTCCTCCAGCTTCTGCAGGATCCTGTGGCCGTTTCTTGGGTATTGTTCATGTCTGATGAGTCACAGTGCTTGCAGCAGGCCCAGGCCCAGATGGACACTATGGCATAGGTGAGGCTACTGACCTTTAATTGCTGGTTTTTTACCCGGTTACCTCAGGACCCTGCTGTGGCATTGTGCACCATCCGGGGGAAAACAAAATAAATCACTCCTGGATTCAGTGGCAATGTCACTTGCAAAACCACAGCCCAGAGCACGTCTGAGAGCAGTGATCAAGAGTCAGGCTGTGTTTCTTTGTCTTCTGCTACATCCTTTGTGGTCCTTTGTGGTGATTCATCCCCGACGCCAGGTCCAGGTGTGCTCCCTCACTTTCATTTATGTGGGCAATGACTTGTACCTGTCCATCCCATAATGACTCATAACTGAGTAGGGTCAGACATACATGAACCAGAGGCCACCAGAGCCTTGGCAGACTCTTCAAAACGAATTAATTGTTAAAAACAATTTGATTACAACCCCCACCACAAAGAGCAGCATTTTTGGCTACCTGCCGACATGTATGGAGCATTTACCTCCAGTCAGAATGATCCTGGAGTAAAGGAGGACACGGACAGATAGTGAGCCAGGTGGGAAGAAATACAAAATCTAGCACCTTATAAGTAATTAACCCAAAGAAACCTTGGAGTGGAAACTAACTTACTGCAACAAGCATTTACTGCACTTTACTACAGTAAGTAGTCCTTTTTGATATAACTTTGAGAATTGCTCAGCATGAACATATGATGCTGTAAAGAGGAATTGAAGTGTGTTCAAGGTAACATCCTACTGTGGACCAATTCATAGCAAATTGTTTTTGTTAATTATTTCTCAGTGATCAACAGCCTAGACATTCTTTCTCACTACCACCATTTTAAGGTTCATAAAGGGACAATTCTACCTATTATCTGCTTGAGTGAATCCTATGTTTCCATACTTAGGAAAGCAAACAGAAGTAGAAAAAAAAAAAGAAAATGCAGTAAATTTTACATGCAGTTTCTGTTTGTTAGGGCAACTCTTTTTTTCAACATACAGGAAGAATATCATGCAGAAGGTAATACCACCCCCCCACCCCGATTATTCCTCATCCTCTGCCTTTAAGAGACTACTCTAATAGATAACACAAATGGGTTTGAGCAACTGTAGTAACTGTTTTCAAGCATATCTTCTTTAAGCCACTGAGATGCCAAAAGAACAGGTCAGCTGGACACACATTTCAGAACTGCCATATCTTGGTCCCATCTCTCCCACGGACCCCTATGCAATTTTAAGCAAAAGCAGTTCCTATCTACTGCCTATCAGCATTTTTATCAACCTCCAATCATTGCTGAAATAAAAAACCAAGGCCACTTAACTAAATCCAGCCTACCTCTCTGTCAAGTATGCCCAAGAGTTGCAACCTGACCTGACCATCCCTAGTTTCTAAAATGCAGCCCTAGGCACTCCGCTCTTGCAGATGATACACCATCCATTGGCAATTGTAGCGTCACAATCCTCCTTCAAAGGTTTCACTGCTCTAATAGCAAAACCTGAGGGATCACTTCAGCTGCTCGCTGCAAAAGCCTGTAGGTCACTGTGCACTGTGAATCAAGTGTTCCAGCTTTCTATTAGATACACAGGCTGTTCTTTATTTACAGAGGACTGGATGTTAAAAAGACACCACTACAAACAGAAGGAGTATTTATTTACAGATATCATTAGCAATTTACATGAAAATGTAATAAACGGGTCACATATGAACCACTGAAGCACTGAGTGGCTAACTGGATATTTCAGCTATCTTAATTAACTTCAGTATTGCATCAAATGCTGTAAGAGAGCGACAGATCACTAATGCCAAGTTAGTCATTTTCAGTAACAGTTCTCATGGAATTTTTTCCTTCTAAATAATCAAAACAATTGGTCATTGGACCTTATAAGGAAAAGTGCCATACCAAACAGAATTTCATAAAATACAGCTGTTTTAACTTCATGGTTCCCTCCAGCATATCTGCAGCACCTGAATTTTGGAGCTGCATTTTTATTTATTTTTTTTAAACAAGACAACAAGATAATACTATTAAAATAATTAGCAGTAACTTGCTCAGATGGTTTCCTCTGTTCTTAGAACAGTGAGAGATATCCAATAAAAATCACAGCGTAGCAAATTTTAAACTAACAAACACCAATATTTTATTTTTTAACATCAGAGTATTAGCCTGTGAGATTTACTGCCAGAAGGTAGCATACAGTTAACAGGCAAGACTTACACAGGTAACTGGATCATCCAGAATTATAATACAATTTCAAGAGAGTTTCAGAAAAAGTAATACTAATTCTCTTTTTTTAGAACTAAATCCAAACCAGCTAAGTTGGGGAGGACCTTCTCCTCTGTACCTTATAGTTATACCACCCCTTGAAACACCTGATAGTAGGTAATATCAAGACAACTAGAGAGAACAGTACTCAGAATTCCTGTGTCATCCTCTCTAGATGTGGTACAACACTTTTGTGAACTCCAAACAGCAGCCTCCCATCTCTCCAGAGCATCTTTTGAAACACGCAGTTGAGCTTGCCTCGAGCATAGCAAAGTATACGTTCTAAGACCTCGGGCACTGGGATACCTGCCAAATCACAACAAATATGTATACATAATCTAATCTACTTGAATTTTGAGTGGAAACTCTGTGCCCTGTAGATATATCCCTCAAGGCTACGAATAGCATACTTGTTGGACAGGATGAAGTTTCCCTGTGTAAGTAATAACTCTTCTGGCACCTAACCACGCCTCCTGGCTTCTTCCAAAACGAAAGATCAGGGAGGGAGGAGTGATGAGGATGAAGGTTCGGAGGTTAATAAAACAGTTTTAAGAAAGCAATCTCTTCCCCCCCCCCCCCCCCC